GCGGGGACTACGCGCACGTGCGCGCATGGGGGGCCACATTGGCCCGCCCGTCGGGACGCGGCGATGGCACCGGGTCGGGGGGGGGGGGGCGGGGGGAACGGCGGCGGAGTGGGATTGCTGTTTCTATTCAAGATGGCGCTGCCAAAGGACGGACATGCCCACCGATCACATCCTGCGTTCCCTCCCCCGCCTCCCCCCCCCCCTCCTCGCCCCCTGCCGAGCCCCCCTTCACTTGCCCCGGCCGAAATATGCGGCCCACACTTGAGCGGCGCCATGCCCGTCTGGTGGAGACCCTCCTCCAGGATCCGGAGACCTACTTGCATCCGGAGCTGCGTATCGCGGCCGATGCCCACGGTGGCATGGGTCTCTTCATGAATTTGCCTCTTCCGCCTGGCGGCGCCGCAGGCACCGATGATGCCGCCATCCCGCTCTGCTTCATCCCCGGGAAGTTTGTGCTCACCGACCAACGGCTGACCGGTGTCCGGCCAGTCCGCCGTGCCCTGGCCAGCCTGGATGCCCTGCTGGAGGGGACGGACGCCCCGCTGGTCGACCGCCTGGTGGCCCTGTACCCCGGCTGTGTGGACGCCCTGCAAGACATCGACCCGGACCGGCTGCGCCCTGGGACCCCCCTGCGCACGCGCCTGGGCATCCTGCTGTGCTTGCTGCTGGCACGGGCGCACGCCCGCCGGGAGGGCCTCCTCCCGACGGCCGCCGCCCCGGCACTCGCCTTCGAGGACACCTTCGCGGGGCTGCCGGGCTTCTGGCCCGACGCCGGTGCCGGGGCTGCCCAGCCCACCGAGGAGGCCCATCTGATCGAGTATCTGCCGGTGCTGATGGCCGCCTGGCCGACGACCCCCCCGAGCCTGAATGCCTGCCTCTATGGACCGGCCGGCGAGCTGGCGTCTCGGCTGCTGCGTGGCACCGGGCTTGGCCCGGCGGTTCTGACCAAGCGCATGCACTTGCTCGGCCTGGAGCTACCGGTGCTGCGGGTGCTGGTATGCCTGCTGGCGCTGGATGGTCCGGGCTGCCCGGCTGGGCCCCTGGCCGGGGAGGAGCTCCTTGCCCCGGGGGATCTCCTCTGGGCGGATGGGGCCTTCCGGTCGCGGGTCTTCCGCGGCCCCTTCCTGGCCGGCAGTCCTGGGACTGGCCCGAGCGAAGCCATCGTCGATGCCCTGGTGCCCGTGGTGGACTATTGCAATCATCGCGTGGCGGCGACCGGCCGAGTCACGGCCGCGGCCGCCGAAGGAGCGGCATCGGCACCGGTCGCCGAAGGAGTCGCATCGGCAGCGGTCGCCGAAGGAGCGGCATCGACACCGGTCGCCGAAGGAGCGGCATCGGCACCGGTCCCCTCGCGGCAGCCGGCCGACCACCTTTTTGCCCAGTGGCAGGCATCCTTCGACGGGGTGACCATCTACTCGGCGGACCCGGTGCTGACGGCGGCCGCCGGACCAGCCGGCCAGGAGCGCGCTCTGGTTCCCCTGCTGACATCCTACGGTGATAAGGGCTCCGACGAGCTGATCTTCCAGTATGGCTTCTTCCCCGAGGCCGAGGCCAATCCCCATGATCGGCTGGTCCTGTCGGTGGCCGGGCCCCAGGCACTGGCCCAATCGATGGCCTTCCAGGACAGCCTGGCCGCCGATGACGCCGCCTGCGGGGGAGTGGGCATCCGGGGTGACGAATTCCCGGCACACCGTGAGGGCCTGATGCAGGCGCTTGGCCTTCCGCCCCGGTTGACCCTCGAGCGGGCTGCCTCGGGCCGGGGCTTTTCCCTGAATCCCACGAGCCGGATGGCCCTGAGTACGTGGTTCCCCCCCCCCCCCCCCCCCCGCTCCCCATTGGGCATTGGCCATTTGCCGCGGTTGTGTGTGCTTGTGTGCCGGTGCCAGTGGGCCTTTCCACCGCCCTCTTCCCGCCTCCTCGCGCCCGCCCGTCGCGCATTTCCCCTGCCCTTGTCGGGGTCCCCCCTGTGCATCGGGGCCACTGGCCTCTCGGCCGCTTGCGCATACTGATGTATCCTCCCCAAACCACGGTGCAGACATTCAAACACTCCGCGTTGCGGAGTTTTTCCACCTGCAGGAAGCCCTTCAGGCGGCCATCTGCGAGGAGTGTGGCGCGCTGGCCTGCGAGTGTCCTGCTGACGATGCCCCAGTCCGGCACGGGCGCCAGCACCTGCGGCGTCTGCTGGCGGACCCGGTGTCGCCGCGGCACGGTGACGATGCGGCGGCCTTCCTCGTCGAGCTCCTGCAGCGACAGCGCAGTCTCATCAACCTGGCCGACCTGGATGCCGACCATCGGGAAGCAGCACACCCGGAGGCGGTGGAGGCCCATCAGCAGGCGCTGCACTCTCTGGCCGCCTTCGCTCGATCGCAGGCGGCCATGCTCGACCAGGCAATCGAGGCCGGTCACGGCATCTACTTTGGTGTGTGATTTGGCCATCACGTGCTGCGCGCTGTTTGGCGACAACTACGGCGCTCCGCGGAAATATACTCCCCCCTCGGGAACGGGCCTCCCTACACCCGGCACAGGGGGGGGGGGGGGGACCGGGACAGTGATGGGCGCCCACCCGCCGCCGCCCCCCCCCGCCCGGTCCCTTGTCTCTCGATGCCCCGGTGCCAAGGGGGCGGTACACACACACACACATACGCGGGAAGGGGGGCGGGGGGGGGGACGTGTGTGCATGAATGCACGATGTGGGGCAGAGACGGAGGCGGAGAGAGGGCGAGGGACAAAGCTTTCATGATCCCGCCATGGTGGTACCGGCGCGGCGTGACAGCATTTAATTGGTCGACCACGCATGCGGAGGTGGCAGGGGGGCAATTTTTGCCGGAGCCCGGGGGCAAAGGCTGGCAGTTGAGGGTCTGCCCCGGGTGTGGGGGGGGGGATGCGAT